TTAATTTTGAATTCGATGACTTTTGATTTTTTGATTCACTCTTATCAAGTTAATTATTCACATATTTACCTTTTGCAAGTCTGCCTTGTTGACTTATGATTTGTGCAAAACATGGTGTCAAACCCAAGGAAACGTTTTTCCAACTTCAAACAGATTGAGGAGCAGTTGTGCAAAAGGTTTCTTCACGAAACTCAGCAAATACAAAGATGAATATCTTGGTTCCTTAACCTCCTTTTGTGATGCCATAGATCAAATCTTTAAGTCATCAAGGTCTTAAAATATTCTTGTGTGTCGTCTTTTTTCGAGTGGCTCTTGGAAAGGTACTTCGAAAAGAAAAATTCAATAACCAAAGATCTTTTTCGTTAAAAGCATCAAAGTAAGTGAAAAAACATTTTCGAAGGACCCCTTTACCCATATGACTGGTTCATAAAGCAATATCTTTGAGATTTTTGGGGGGAAAACGGGAAGATTTACACGAGCGTTTACTCTTTCCTCTTGGCCGCCATTGTGAAATCGCTGAACCGCGGCGTGACGTCATACCGTCATACATGATTCATTCATTGTTTACCTTGAAGACGTTTCCTCCCTCCTGGGAGATCTGCTTCACTGTTTCGGAAACAGGTAAGCCATAGATTATCTTTGAAAGCACGATTGTTTTAAAGGTTGATCGATCTCTTCCTGTCCATAGCCCTCTTTCCTTAAACCCATGATCACATAAGAACAGTTTGTTAGCTTCACATAATCTGGTCTTAACGTGGTAGGAACATTCGCAATTGGATGACAAGGTAACACTGAGTATTGTTAGATATTCGTATTGATTAATATTAAGAGGCTGTCCGCGTAAGAGCGGATAAGGCAAAAATTGGCCCATCACCAATTTTCCTGATTTTCTCAGTAAAAGTCAACTATTATATTCAACGAACATTTATCACATTTATTTGGATCAATTCGGATTTTTAGGTACTTTACGAGACGGTTTTCGATCACACCTCAAAACTTGCAAATTGACCGTTGGGAACGCTGCGATGTAACGTTTAAATTTAATAACGTTTTCACTGAGATATGATAATTTAAAAATATATGCTAAAATTTGAAAAAAGCGTTAGGCGCTAAAATACCTGCAGTTGAAGGCGATTTTCTCGAAAGTGTAGGACCTAACCTAGAGTTTAGTCTATTATAGCTCAAATGCACTAAGACCAGTCTACAAACTTATGAAATAAAATTGTAGGTACTCTTGTTTACGTGCCGCATGACAAGAAGTATGCAATACATTAAATTTCGCCAGGTTGAGCAAAACGGATAATTGACGGAGCGATGAAAAAAGACCAAGTTTGGAACCAAAACTAACTGAATATATCACCCAAGTCATTAAATACCAGTTTTGYGTTTAAGTAAGCATTTTGAGTCTTTTTAAGCATTTTAAGCCGTTTTTTAAAACGATATTGATTTTGTATTAGTACAATATGCAAATTATATTCAAAAATTTGCACCAAACAACACGAAAGCGTGAAGTTTTAATTTTTTTCGAACGTAAATTTTATGAGAATGAAAACGCTTTTTACTTTACAAATCAGTAATCAGTCGCTCCGCTTACAACTTTTAAAAAAAGCCGACTAGATATGGCGTTCATTTGCGGACAAAATTATGAACTTGAAATAATAAAATTTGAAGCCCAAAATGTAATCATCGATGTTCAAATGACAAAATTTCAACTCCAAAACATCTGAAATGAAGTTCAAAATGCATTGTTTTGGCATAAAAAAAACAACAAAAAACGTTTGCCGACAAAAATACGAAATCAATGCGGAAAGCGAACTGAAATAGAAATTATAAAATTTAATATAAAGTCCAAAATGGCGATATCAATAACGAAAATAACGTCAATTAATATAAATACAAACGTTCAATGAACCAAAACTTGAACTCGATAGGAAACGGAAATGAGACTAGCAATGTTGAATGGACGAATGCTCATTATCGTAACACGTAATCAGTGTTATTCAAGCTAACGAGGCCCAAAATAGTATTGAGGTACTGCATTTACTCGTTTACAGGTAAGTACCGCTCCGGATTGAACGCTGCCACATAAGCACATAAGCACTGCACCTGGGACGAAAACTATTAATAAAATTAACGTTTATAATAAGCGCGGCGGCACTTAAACGAGTAAATACGGTAACCAAAATTGTGAGAATTCCTTATTATGACAGCTTTTTCTTGAAATTTTGTT